TTCTTGGAGACATTCTCATCCCTCTAAACTGTAATAAGGAATTCAGCGAGTGCTTTGTTGGGATCTCCACCTTTCGGAGATAATGCTTGGCCCAGCTATATTTTCCTAATCACCTCCCTGCCAAAGGCAGACGTATGCGTGGCTATCCAAGTTACACCAGTGAGCCTAGTCCGGCCCCCAAATATAGGACAGCACATTGACAACACATTCAGTAAGGACCTCTATGAAAGTGCAAGCTTGAAATTACTATCTCTGCTTGTTGAAAAGTGCGGTATGTGCCTCGCATGCTCTAAGTAAGGGCTCGAGGACCTAATCACCAGATACATCCCAGCTTTAAAAAAAAGGGGTACGAGTACAACCATTAACTGTGGACGTAGCTCTCCGGGCTGGGCGAGGTCAGTAAACTCGCAGCCTCTTCAGTCCATCCCGGATCTCTGCCACCTGCCCAGGCATAACGAAACACGAGGCGAAAAAGAGCTCCCCCAACTGTAGTCCTCATTGCAAGAATTGAGAAATGTTTTAAAACATCTTGCTGTTCAGTACCCCTCCTGGACGAGGGTGGAGAGCTTTGCCCGAAGAGATCCGCTCTCATGAATGAAGGTTCAACGCGTACAATGTGGTGTAGATTGCGTGGCTGTCGGGAGATCTTATGTGCCTTGATGTAGATGTTTCCCAAAATTAGAGGCCATAATAAGGATCATAATATTTTTTGTGATTTTTGGGGTTTATATTGGGGTCCCCCTATTTAGGGCAACTACCATGTGTTTTGGGCTGGCCGTCAGCTGTAGCTTAGTCTTCTCAAGCGATGCGTATTCTGATTGTAGAGCCCGCTTTAAGGGTCAGGGCGGACTTAGCATAGGTTGATATTGGGGATAACCTTGGTGCTACGTCTGTTGTAGGCATTATGCGCATACTTATTGAGTCACCCTGATGCGCACTTCCCGGCATAGGAAAGAGAGAACCTATCCTTTTCCAAAATGAACGGAACCTCATATCATGACCTCCTTGAAAAGAACAATACGTCATCTCTATTGGGCGAGCCGTGGGACCTCATGCTAGTCTCACTGGGAAGTTACTCGGGAATAAGGGAATATATCATATCAGAATTATATAGGGCTATATTCCCTTATTCCCTTACCACCAGTAAGTCGTTTTGGGAGCAGGCTCCTCTTCCACCCTCGAATCTTTCTTAGACTAGGTAGCCTGAAGCACTCACATCCCAATATGCTCCCTTCCAAACACTTGAATACCCCTGCTATACACCCAAGACACTAAAATCCTCTGTATAAAACTGCCAGACAGGGCCCTCCTAGTTTCGGAAAGCCCCATATGAGCTACAGTCAATATTTCCTACCCAATTTCATGGACGTGGGTTCCTTATTAGGGACTATATTAGGGACTATACTAAACTACAAGAGGACCTTAATGTCCACTATTAAGGGCCCCTTAATAAGGCTAATATTGACAGTAGCTCATATGAGCTATAGTCTAAACACCTAGTATCTCCTTTAATAACCCCTTTAGTGCACCCCTGTATCATCCCCCATATAACCCCCATTTAGGAGTTCAGATTCTAGCGCATGTCTGCCTATGCCTCTCCAACTTGGCGCACCAGCCCTAACCCTAAACCCTGATCCAAGCCCCAGAAACTCCTGCCAGGCATCTGGAGCCCTAGTTTTCTACCAGAAGTACCTCATGCTTTGAATCTAGGTGGGTACATTACATTAGATCTGTGTTGTCTGTTGTCTATGACAATAACAGTCCAGTCATTATAAGAGACTGTATGATATTACCTCGTTATGAACTTGGGGTGGCTTCTTCTTAGCAAGCTACGGGAGAAGAAGACAAGACATTAGCAATTGAGTAGCCATTTCTCTTTCCAGCAGCGTTACTAATCAATGTAATTCTGCATGCATCGTCGCGATGGATAGAACAATGCAAGCTCTCTTCGAGTAAGTTTACATTATCTGCATGTTTTCACTGCTGTATTGCTGTATCAGTTCTATTGGTATTTAATTTGGTTTTGTGAACCGTGTATGGACATTCAATAGGGTCAGGGCGCCCCCTCCTTCACGCTCATCTCTTTTAACCACCATGCTGCTCAACGCCCTCAACTCGAAGCCACAAACCCTACAAATGTGCCCTAAACTCTAAACCCCAAACCTAGACCTTGAACCCGAAAGTCCTCACTTTCGCTTCACCCTAAATCTGAAACTTTGCCTTCGCACGACTTTGCATTTCTTCCTCCTTGCCTAAGCTTCTTTTCCAGTGAAGCTCAAGGTGGGAGCGCTTGGGAGTCTTTAGTTTGACCCCAGACCAAGCACAGACTGCAAGAGTGGGAATGGTTTGGCCAACTTCTTCAGATTATGGGAGCTTTTGAAGCCAAGGGTGTGCTTGCAACTTAGCTACCTACAACTTTGCAGTAAGTACCCCCGGTAAAGCCCATAAGTTGGGTGATTGAGGTTACGGAAGGTATGACAGCGCTTAGGACTTTTTGTCAATTCCTGGGTTCTACTTGTAGGGTTGGAGGCTTTAGGTCTCCTCTGTTTGCAGTCTTGGGTTTGCCTACCACTCGGGGGGTTATGCGTTACGGGGTGCTTGCTGAACAAACCCCTAAACCCTAAACCCGAAACCCTAAACCCTAATAGCTAAACCCTAAGCATCCTGCCAACCAGGGAACAGCCCCAGGCCCAAACCGCAATTTCTACCTGTCCACTTCGGGAGACGCCTGGCGCAACATTCGCGCCCCATATCCTAAACCCTAAACCCTATAATATCCTAAAACCTAAGCCCTATAATATCCTAAACTCTAAAACCCTAATATCCTAAATCCTAGCGATACACGCCTCTCCTCACACCTGGAATCTGAATCTCAAGCGCCAGGGTGAAAATTCATCATGTGAACTATAGTCTAAACTGCCTAAAAGGGGGTTATATAATGGATTTATAAGGTTTAGGGTCTAAACTTCTAAAAGGGAGTTATATCGGGGATTTGGGTTTAGGGTTTAGAGTCTAAACTCCTTCAGGGGGGTATATTGTGGACTGTATGGGGGGAGCATTATAGGGTGATACTAGGACTTGATATTATAGTTCAGATAACCCCTATAAATCCTATTTAATCACAGTGTCCATGTCATTTTCCATGTTGTTTTCCGTTAGATTCTCCATTGTTGGTCATAATATACCCCAAACCCTAACTGGAAGGTTCCAATTGATTTTCATTTTTCCCGTTTGATTCTCCATTATTGGGGCTAATATCCCTAAACCCTAACCCCTTAACCCCTAGCCCCTAAACCCTTACAACCATTATCATTACCATTGTGGGAAAAGTGCCACTCGTAGCCACGGCACGAAGCTCGATCTTCACTTTGCGCAGCTCTTCCTGCACCTGTAGATGATGATTGTGCGTTTAGGTGGGTTGTGGGTTTAGGGTTTAGGGCTTCTGTGATCTTCTTGCTTCCACACACCCTCCCCAAATGAAGTGTTGCAAGTCCTGACCACTGTGTAGTTGGCACAGATCCTTACAACGATGAGGACTTGTCAGCGAGTATCATTTGTCGCACATCAGTTCCATTGCACAAAACCGTATTGTGACTCTAAAGTTCCAACATGCTCAGGACTCAGGACGCATTGCCGCAACGCTGAGGAAGATTGCATTTTTTGGCTGCCCATCATGATCAGCGTCCCTTCCCTTCATCAGCATTGTTCTTGCTTTTGTTTCTGGTTGTTGTGCTGCTTGAGTTGTTGTTTGAGTTGCTTCTGCTGCTGCCGCTGCTGCCGCTGCCGCTGCAGCTTTTGCTCCTGCTTTTGCTTTCGCCTTTTTTGGCTGCTGCCCTATGAACGACAAGAAGTTCAGAAAGAAGAAACGCGCAGCAAACAATGAGCCAACCTTCCCCCTCAAATCTGGTAACAAAGAACCTGAAATCCTTAACCACTAGTATGCAGTTCTCTGGTATCCTAGGAGAACCGCAGTGATTAGGCTCTATCATGCCTCGTACCCTCAAAGCCCTGAAGCCCAAAGGGCCCTCGACCTGAAAAGCTTAGTCTTGAAAGCCGTGACCCTGTTCCTCAGGCTTTGCAATGGGGCGTGCTGGAAAGGCGACAATACTCAACAAGCTATGCCTTGCAACCTCATCAAACTGGGTAGGTGTATGGCAGGTTACCCAGAAATCGCGTGACCATCTGATGAGGCTAGTCTTCCAAAGAACTATGAGATAAGTTTTCCAAAGCGCTTGTCATTGTACACAGTAAGGTCTTCAAATCTTGGTTTCTAGGGAACACCCAAGAAAACTGCATGAATTTTTGGAACCCTACATCAGCAGATACCCCGGTATCTCCGTAACATGAACGCTTTTGCTCGGGACCCGGAAATTCTTGGAAACATCCAGAGGCATAACTTCCCTCGCTGCAGCCTCGCTTGGCCCTTAAATATTCGTCGCATGTGAACCATGCATCGAGAAGTACAGAAATGCTAGCAAACGAATAGGTGTTTCACATCTAGGGTGAACATAAACCCTTCCAACACCTTGCCTTACCAGGACAGGTCAGTTGCAAACTTAAGTCATCCTATGCATCCCACCAATTTCACAGTAAGGGTCACTGGAACAGTCTAGTACTGAGCCTGCAAAACTGTCAGACAGCCATGTCCTGCTTGCAAAGTATCAGTATCATGCGTAATCTATGCATATACATGCACACACGCTGTATGATGCCTCTATACATATACATACACAAAAATGTATGCTATGATGAAATATGTAGTCTAATGCACGGGAAATGTACAATGGGCAATCGCTACAAAGATGAGGTGGAACACCTGCGGACTGCTGGATCTGTATAAAAGCTCTTAAAGGCTGATTCTGGCACACCAGACCTCATGTATTGAAAGCTAGCACTGCTAAGTCCACAGCTTTAACAACACAACTACTAACCAACAACTGCACTGCCCGCACCATACCTGTTGCCAGCTGTTTGCAGCACAGATGCGCAATTGGCCTGTCTCATGATCTCGAATGCTTCTGCGGAGGCTGAGTCCTCGCCCTGAAGCTGTGTCCGTCAGAGGCGACCTCCTCATAGACTCTCTTTGCTGCACGCATGAAGGCAGCGTCGCCGCCCTCTCCCAAGTCCTTGTCAACACCCGCATCCAATAGCAATCGCACAATCTCCCTGTGGCTGTTTCCAGCTGCAAAAGTAAGAGCTGACTGGCCGCAGTCACCCCGCACGTTCTTGTCAGCACTGTTCTCCAGCAGCGAGGACACAATCTCCGTGCGGCCTCTTTGGGCAGCATATATCAGGGCAGTGTTGCCGTGGTCGCTCAACTGGTCTTTGTCAGCTCCAGCATCTAAGAGCAAACGTGCAATATCGACGAAACCGCTCTCAGCTGCGCGCATGAGAGCTGTGTAGCCGAACTCTCCCTGCAAGTCCGCGTTAGCACTTGCTTGCAGAAGCAACCGTACAACCTCCACGTGTCCCAGCGCAGTTGCAACAACAAGTGGGGCTTCGCCGCACTGGCCCTGCAGGTCTTTGTCAGCGCCAGCTTCCAGAAGCAAATGTACTATCTCCACATGGTTCTTTTCAGCTGCAAGCAGGAGCGCTGTCCCGCGGCAGTCGCTCTGCAGGTTCGTGTCGGCACCAGCAGCCAACAACAACCGCACAATCCCAATGTGTCCATTTTCAGACGCAACAATGAGAGCTGTTCCGCCCAGGTCATTTTTCAATTCTGCGTCAGCGCCCGCTTCTAGAAGCAAACGTGCTATCTCCAAGTGACCATATCCAGATGCACAAAGAAGAGCTGTATCGTTGAAACGGCCCTTCAAGTTAACGTCGGCGCCGGCATGCACCAAAGCCTGCGCAACCTCCGTGTGACCTGCTCTGGCTGCATGCATGACGGCTGTTAAGCCATTGAGATCTTGTACGTCCTTGTCTGCACCTGCATCCGTCAGCAATCGCACGGTCTGCAAGTGGCCCTTTTCAGCCGCATAAGTGAGAGCTGTTACTCCAAAAAAAGTTTGAAGATCCTTGTCTGCACCAGCTCTCAGCAGCAAGCGAACCATCTCTTCGTTGCCTTGCTGAGCTGCACATATAAGAGCTGTACAGTTAGTCTCACCCTGCAGGTCTGCCTTTGCACCTGCTTCCAACAGCAAGATCACAATCTCAATGTTGTCTTGCTGACTTGCTTTGATGAGTGGCGTGTTCCTATACCAGTCCTGCTGGTCCTTGTCCGCTCCAGCTTCCAAGAGCAGGCGTGCGAGTTCCTCGTGGCCATATTCAACTGCAAGAAGCAAAGGTGTCGAGCCGTCGGACGCGTGGTCCAGGTTCTTGTCAGCACCTGCTTTCAAGAGCAGGCGAGCAATCTCCGCGTGACCGTTCTGGGCTGCGCACGTAAGAGCTGTGTGGCCATTCCTGGCATGCAGGTCCTTAGCAGCACCAGCTTCCAATAGAAAGCGTGCGATCTCCACGTTGCCATGTTCAGCGGCTTGAATGAGAGCTGTAACGCCGGAGATGTCACGAAGGTCCATTTCAGCTCCGGCCTTCAACAGCAAGCGGGCAGTCTTTACCAGCGCAGGCTCCGAGGCACATTCAACAAGCTCCGCTGCGGCCTCAAGGCGATGTGCATGACAAGACACAGATCGTAGCACAAGCTGGATTTCCATAGGACCCTCAACCTTCCCAGTGGGGTCCAAGCTGTTGCCTTCATGCAGAAGCTGCTGAAGGCAGATGGGGAATCCATGCAGATCACGAATATGTACCTTCAAGGCAGGCACATCCTCGATCTTATCTGCACTCATGGCTGTTAGCTCTTCTCCTGAAATTCCCCAGACACGAAGCATGCCAGCAGAACAGTGCCAGATCAGCCGCCCATCAAATGCACAACAGGCACAACGAAGGTATGCCTCTGTCTCTGCGCGTGTGCACTATACTAGATGCTGCTATATGTAGAGCATGCCCCAGTCAACAAATGCAGAACTTTCTTGGACTGTCCCCTAACCTGACGGTTACCGTCTGGAGATCGTACAAAAAAGGTTGCTGCCACAACTGCATTTCAAGACTGTCCCTACAGTGTGGCACAAATATCTCCACTCGGTGGCTAGGCCAAGCTACATACCACCGAAGCACAAATATACCCACTAGAAGGAACCGCAAAAGAAGTCCTATCACGTTCGGATGCATGCGCAAGACTTGTATTGCTGAGCAGGCGGGTGTGCGAAGGCAGCGTGACGAAACAAACAATTAGCGGGACATCGGGCTTTGGGTAGCTCATGCCATCGCAATCAATAAGGACATCAGGAAACGTCACAACATGAACATACTACTCACCACTCCACGCTAGAAAAGGCTACACTGTACGAGAAAAGACTCATGAGCTCCTCTTCAAGATGGCCAATAGCCGACAAGCCGCAAGCTGGGGATGGAGGTGATGCCCCGATGTTCGATAAACAAAGTGAAAAGGGGGGCCCAAAATCCTGCCTTCTCTTTCACGGAACCTAGGTGTTTCAGGTTCCATCTAGCGCGTCGCTAAGCTTGCGAAACATAGTCAAGCCCTTGCTCCCTGCAGGCCCACAAGATTTCTCAGAAGTGCAACAACCTCACCTCCAAACCCCAAACCCTGTTAAACCTCAAACCCTGAACCCGAAACCCGGAACACCAAACTCCAACCGGCCAAAAAAAATGCACCCAAAACTACCCTAAAACCTATAAACCCTTTTAATCTTCATCCATGAATCCCGCAGACCCCGAACCCGCCGCTGGGCCGCCCAACGCGCTTGTCGTCAGGAGCAAGCCTTTGAGCTTCTAGGAGCTGTTGATGAGCCTGGGCTCTTCTCAATCATGCATGTTTAGGTTGAAGGTTTTGCGCCCCCATTTGGGTTTAGGATTCAGTGGTAGGGTCTATTCAAGGATAAATCAGGGATAAGAAAGATGAGGTTATTCTAAGGATACGTAGGGTTTGCTTAAGGGTGCAAGAAGCTCCCATGTGATTCCTTCCTGGGGTTCTGATAGATATTCGGGTAAGGATTTCCGGTGTAATATCCTGAAAAACTACTTAGGGTTCAGGGTTTAGGTTTTTAGGGTTTAGAGGCTATGGGTTGCTTGTTCGAGGCTTCCAAAAGAATGGCCATCTTCGCATGCTCGCGGGATTGTTCCCGAGTTAAAGGATCTTGGAGCTTCTGGGTACGGGTTCAATGGCGCGGGTCGACCCTGACCTCCCAAATACCCAGATTAATAGCCTACCCTAAGGGTCCAAGTACCTAATAATCATATACTTACCCAAAACCTGTACTATAATTACTAATACCAAAACCCTAAGTACCCAATTATTGGATACATGGACCCTTAGGGCTATTGGTTTAGTCTTTAAGGTTTAAGGTCCAGGGTGCCATTATTTTGAAGTTAAGGGCCATTCTTAAAGGTACTTGGGAGGTTCAGGTACTTCTTTATGGCTGAAGGCTTAGAGTTCAGAGTTCAGGGCCTAGGGCAGTATGCTTAAGCTGGCAGTCTAGGGGCTAAGTTTCAAGCCAATACGAGGTATAGTCTATAAGCTCATAGTATCCCCGCTAAGAAGAATTGAATGAGGATCGGAATAGCAGGAATGGGTCCTTTGATAACGTAGAGTACCCCGAGCTCTGAGAATTGCAGTGGTTCAGGGAACTTAGACAGTGTCAAATCACCTACATAAGGAGTATGTAGTTCCTTACGTCCCCTGACCGTCCCATCAGCCATTTTGTGAACTATTGATGCCCAACCCTTACGCCTGCATGATTTGGACCGCGGCTGCCAAACACCGAGTCGAACTCCCCAGGCCCTATACCTATTGGTTGGGAACGGAGGAATGGATCCCTATATAACCCAACCCTATTAGAATATACTAGTTCATATTTCCTTTCCATTATCCCTATATAACCCTATAAAAAACCTAGTATTAACTCATTCTATTCTTTTCCCTTGCCATACTGCGACTTGACTGTCTGTCAATGTAAACATTCTATTCTCCATTGTCCTATATAACCCCCCCCCCTAAACCCTAAACCCTAAACCCTGTATAAATCCCAAGGGAATATAGTATTCACTCATTCGTTCATTCCGTCTGCACAGCCCGTCTCGCTACTGAGCTCCTTGGCCCCACCAATTGTCAACCTCCAACTGCTGGTTTGAGTATGAAATTAGGGGCCTACTTGTTCTGGAACCTGCATATGGTTATAGGGTTTAAGGTTTTGGTGGGTATAGAGATAATGGAAAAGAAAATGGAAAATACCATTTAGGCAAACTACCATATGATACCTAACAACTGTTGAGAGGCACTGACATAGCCACGAGAAACGCGGTCCCTCAAGCCCTGCGCATGCCACTCGTTCATCCCTACATCGTGAAAGACAAAGCATGTGATTCCCTGGTGACGGAGTGAGAAGGTCTTGTGCCCACTTAGTAATATACCTACAATATACTTATAATATACTTATAATATACCTAAAATATACCATAGTATATGTATTCTGAAGCGAGTAAGAGGCAGCAATGCTGCCCACGTGCCGGACCAAAGAAAAGACCTTGGACAAAAAAGACCTATTCTCGCCTTGTGCTCTTTACTGTCTCAAGTACCAGGACCCTCCAACTAGCGTCTAAATTGGCCTGCATACACACTACCAGGGACACTATTGCCACCCTCCAAAGGTGCTTAAGGGGTCTACGAAAAAGTACTGCGCGAGTTGGCAAACGCAAGTTTAGGCAGCTGTGGTCCTACAGTCGATGAACAATGTCCTGCATGATCCAAGACATACTAAGTTCACGGTTCAAAGGTTAAAGGAAAGTCTAATGAAAAAAAGCTTACGCAGGGACTCCATTACATTACTACCTTCCGATCTCAACAACTGTCACTGGAAGCACTATAGGAGCAGCAGCAGCAGTATTAGTGGTAACAATAGCGGCGGTAGTACATGTACTAATGCTATCACCACCACTGACTCTTTTTTGGCTCTTGCGCCTTCCCGGCTGTGGGCGGCTATGTCACCAGCCGAGCTTTCTTTAAAGTGCTAAGGCGCAGTGACATGCTTCGAAAGGCTCGGAAATGGCCAAGTTCTTAGGTAACCCAGAGGGTTCAAGTACCCAATAGTTAGGTACTTGGGTTTGGGGTAATAGTAATTATAGTATAGGTTTTGGGTAAGTATATGACTATTAGGTACATGGACCCTTAGGGTTAGGTAATGGCTTTTTGTAAACGCTCACCTTGAGAGCTCCAAAATTACGAACACCATTCCTATTTACTGTCAGGGGCGCTGTGTTATTGCAAGCTTGTTGGCAATTCCGACCCTTTTAGAGGCATGTTGAATTGCCGCATCTGCCCACGAGGACGCTATAACACAAAAACTGCATAGCTTGCGTATACCCTGCTGCATCCGACTCTCCCAAAGTCAGAGTTGCTTTTGTGCAGCCGCAAGTGTTTAAGAAGATTCCCCTGGACACGCCGGCAGCGGCGGTCAGACTGACACCAAGAAATTCAATGTATCCAGATTCATACGCCAACCTTAGTATACTCAGCTCTTTCAGTCAAGTACGCCTTGAACGTACGTAACGGCACACAACAGGAAACCTCTTCAAAACCTGAACCCTCAACTACAAACCCTCTACTCCCACAATGATCTGGCTAATCCCATGGGACTTCTCGAAATCAAGGAAAGTTAACAACTGAGTTCTCCAATAATTTTGAAAGGTCTCTGAACCTGAGCCCGTCACCCTATATTAAATACCCCCCCACTGTGGTATGCTATAATACATTGGGAGTATTTAATATTAGCGACGTAGGGGGGGTTACAATCTCCACAGCCCCCAAAAATGCCTATCGGGGTTAAATTCGACCCATTGAGAAGACCCAAAGGGCCCGCAGAATCACTCACACTACACCTGCCTCCGGCCCGTTTCAATCAAACAGGAGGGCGCCTAGACCCATTACCAGAATTGAAGTTGAGCCCTGAACCCTAAACCCTAAACCGAGTTCAGGGTTTAGGGACCCTGAGCCCTAAACCCTAAATCCTGTACCCTAATATAGACCCCTAGTGAATAACTTCCCTCCCCTTAATAAGGATTATAATAGGGATCCTGATATTGAGGCCCTTAAAAGGAGGGGAGCTCATCAATCAGGGGTCTAGAGTCTAGATGAAAC